AAATCTTATAACAAATAAATTTACTTACCTGTACATGCTTGAACACCCTAAAGGCTTCATGAATTTGTGTTGCTGTCCACCCACAAATTTTTGGCCACCTCAGCATTCATGGTCTAGCCTCGGGTGCAGCAGGAGTAAATAAAGTTGTGTGCTCAAAGAACCAAAATTGCAGATAACACATATCAAAAATCATTTTGTCAGAAGGCAAAAAAAGAAAAAAACAAAAACAATTAGATAAAAGAAATACAAAACCACTTATGTAACCAAGTGGCTGATTCCGCCTTATTTTGATTACAACAAAGTTTATTTGATCAATCATATAATCACAGATGACAACAGACCAGTTAAACGAAGAGAAAGTCTATATGTTCTCTTCAAATGCATAAAGACTTGCGGGCACGCCGAAATTGCTCGAGGGAAAGAATAAATTTGTCAGAAAAAACTTGAGAAATAATTTCTCAAAAGGAGTGGAAGGTTCTCCTGAAAACTTAGTCACATCTTCCTTTATTGCTCTCGAATCTACACGAGATGACGAAGTTTTCCTCAAACTAACAGATTCTCCTTTGTTGGGCATGCCTAACAACAACGCCACATGGTTTGCATGGAATTGTACCAACTTTTCACCTATCACAAAAGCTCTTCTTTCATTATTCCAAATCTTATGATATGTAGAGTCAACACATTATCTTGGGGATAAGGAGACATGTCAAAAACTGACTGACATTTATTTCTCTTAAAAAATTCATGGTCTCCTTGGGTACAATGTGTCTAACAGTATATAGTGCACTCTTCATTGCAGAAGGACAACATCTACAATTGAACATTATTGCGTTCATATACCTACAACAACAAACATAAGAAAATATTATTATATAGATAACATTCTCCATTCACACATTTTAAAATGACTCAATTGTTATTATTACATATATGTTATTGTCGGGTTACATGTGTTATTGTTGTGTTACATATGTGTAATTGAAGTGTTACATATGCGTTATTGATGTGTTATATGACTGCAATAATTAAATTATTGTTGTGTTACAAATGAGTTATTATGTGTTACTATTATGTTGCTGTTGTGTTATAATTGTGTTATTGTTGTACTACTGTTGTGTTAATGTTGTGTTATCGTGTGTTATGAATGTGTTATTATTGTGTTATGATTGTGTTATGTTTATGTTACAACTATAACACAACAATAACACACAATAACACATCTATACCACAATTCTAATAACATAACACAACAATAACACATCTATAACACCATTATAATAACATAACACAACAATAACACAATAACACATCTATAACACACAATAACATATCTATAACACATTTCCTAAATAACATAACGCAACAATAACACATTTCCTAAATAACATAACACAAGAATAACACATATATATATAACACATTTATAATACAATTATAACAATATAACACAACAATAACACAAAATAACACATTTATAACACATAATAACACACAATAACACGACTATAACACACAATAACACGACTATAACACTACTATAACACCACTATAACTTTATTTTTTTCTCTAAAATAAACATGTCCTCACCTCAACGATTTTGGGAGACCAGTAGCTTCTTCTTCTGTACCATTGCGACCTTCCATTTTGTGTGCTAAAAAGCGAAAGAAAACAAATCACTTCTTGTTGCCGAACGACTAAGCACTAATATTTATAATGAGTATTGCGAAACCGACCTTTCGTTTCCAAGAGACGAAACCGAATGGAGAACCGCCACCAGCTGTTTAAATGGAGAACCACTACCGTCGAAGACAAACGGACATCCGAAGAGCCGAAGAGAGCCGGAGCCGAAGAGAGCCGGAAGAGCCGAAGTAGGAAGAAGCCCGAATGCGAATCGACGAAAATCGCTGAGTCTAACATAAAGTAATTTTTTGTATCTTTCGGCGCCCGACGGATTAAAGTTGAACCGGGTTCACCTATTAATTTTTCTCGTGGTGTGATTCGGGAAACTTGAGGGCATTGGTGGCAAGCACGAGCCCGCACACACTAGGGGTTCACCCCGCCCCCGCTCTTTGTTGCTGCACAGAAGTAACACGCATGCCCGCCTGCGCACCTGCGCACCTGCGCCACCGGCTATCGGAGGCCTTTACTGCTCTATCTCGGCCAATCAATGCATCATTTCGCCGTCGAGAGCTCCAATGGCGATCCGTGGGAGCTCCAATCGCCAAGGGAAGCACGAACGTCGATCTTCATTTTAACCGACGGTCGTTGGGGTCGATCCAGTGGAACAAATCATTCCCGCCGCTGATCTTCTCCTTCCAGCCGCCTATAAATAGCCCCCATGCTTCTCTTCCATAGCGTCTCTCTCTGCTCCTCCTCCCTCCTCATCTTCAATTTTTTTCCAGTTCGCCTCCTCTTCTTCATGAGGTGCTCCCAACCAAACCCTAACCCGACCCAACTCAACCTAACCCAATCTAACCCAACGTAGCCCAACCCAACCTAGCCCAACCTAGCCCAACCCAACCGAGCCCAACCTAGCCCAACCCAAACTCCAACCCAACCCAACCCAACCCAACCCAACCCAACCAACCGAACCCAGCCCAACCCAATCAAACCCAGCCCAACATAGCCCAGCCCATTCTAACCCAGCCCAACCTAGCCTAACTCAGCCTAACCTAAACCAGCCCAGCCCACCCTAGCACCCTAAACCCTAAACTTTTAGGGTTTAGGGTTTGGGCGCAACCGAACCTTACTCAATCTAGCCTAATCCAACTTAACCTAAACCAGCCCAACCCAACCTACCTGACTTAGCCCAATCTAACCCAACCTAGCCCAACTGAGCCGAACCCAACCCAACCCTTATTCCTATAACAACAACAACATCTTAATCCCTTTACGTGGACGTTCATGTAATTATTACTACCCAAATTAATTTTAAAAATATTAAAACTTAGCAATTTTTATTACATATAAAAAATAATATAAAAATGATATAAATAAATATTATTATTTTATTATTTCGAGCTAAAACTAGCCGAACACGAACGAACAATCCTTGGTTCGTGTTCGACTTGCTTATAAATCGAATTAAAAAAAATGTTTGTGTTCGGTTTGCTTGCTTAACGAATGAATAGAACATGAGCTGTTCATGAACGACAAGCTTTTTTTGACAGCCCTACATGTAAGTTCTTTTTGTGAATATTTTAATAAAATATGTTACTTGCAAAATTTTTGAACCTATAGGAACTTTGAATTTCACGATGACCGACAATCTAGGAATCAAAACAAACCACGAACTAAATGCAGAACCCTAAACAAAAATCTAAAATCCATTAATTTAAAAAATGAGAGCCAAACATAGGTAGATCTGACATGAACCCTAGGTTGGCCAACATAAAAATAAAATTGGGGGTCACACATATTGTATTAGTCCAGTCTAGAAATCTAAATTAGTTTACTGGGTACCTATAGTCAGAATTAAGGATTAAAACCTATAAAACAAACAATCTTACCCCCTAGAATTGTGTGGGTGCCTAGGATGAAGTAAACCATAGTTACTGACAAAAACACCACCAACCACCTTTAGCTAACAAAAGTCTCTATTTGTCATTCATATGACGTTAAGCAGAGATTTCTGGTTATATAGTTTGTTCATAGTTGAAGGATACCAATGCACCCGCGATGGTGGAAAGCCACATGCATCTTGATCGGGGGTGTTATTCCCAAATTTTATGTTAGTTCACCCATTTAGACTCTTTGTAGAGTCTAGGCTAGCTAGGATTTTCAATTCTATTTATAAATCTTTCATACTTGACTCTACCTGTTAGTTTAGGGATCCTTTCCAACTAAAAATTTCAATTAAACAAATTGATCTGACTCATTTTAAACTCTTTTGATTCCACCTGGACTTTAGCTCAAAGCCCTTCAATCATCGTCAAGTTTAGATCTAGTCAAACAACCTCCCTGGGATGGTCAATTCTCTCATACCCGGGTTTTTTCATGACACACCGTCATTAGATCGAAAGTCCCAATCCTTGAGCTTAATTCTTCCAAAACTCCAAACTTAGATCCTTCTGTCACATCTGAATTACTAACTTTGCAAGTTCAACGTTGGAATCTAAGTAACATAGGTCAATATTTTAATCGAGAGTTTTTTTAGAACTCACAACCTTAAAGTTGTAATTAACTATGAGGGTTTGCCCTTAGGCCTTAGAATAAAATAAACTTTTTCTTGCACACATAGAAAATCTTAGTCCACGTAGACCCGTAAGTCTTCAAATATTTTCATCATCTGAATGATTAGTTCCTTTTCTATAGTAATATTTCTTCTCTTCGTGGAGATATATTATTATTTAAATGCCGTATCTGATCATTTAAATAAAAATCTTCTAAGACCTATGGCGGACACATCAATCCAAAAAAAAATTTCCCTAGTGTCTTGTTTGTTTATCTACCTCCAAGATGGTACCTAAATAGGGGAATGTATTATTTGGTCAAATCTGAAAATCTGAACCAAGCCAAACGAGACCGGTTGATTAAGCTTGTTTCAAAGATACAATGCTTTTTTTAGAACCTTAATATTTAGTTTCTGTTATTGGTTTGATTTTAATTTTCATTTTACCGACAAATTGAAAAATAAAAAAAAATTGCATTTAAATGGAGGACCTATGAAATTAATTTAATATTTACATATGAGATATGAAATTCGTGATCTTTGTTCATAATTGAACTCCAATTACCAACTAAATTTTGGTTTGTTCATAACTGCACCATTTAAATTGAATTATATTTCAGTTTAGTCGGTTCAGTTTTATTAAAATTTTGATTGGTTCGGTTTTTCGGATTTCAAACAGTGGCAATCGGTTTGCCAATTTGAATCACGATCCTTCCTAATAGGTAGATTGCCCACCCTAATCATAAATTTGAAATTTTTAAAATAGTGAGGCTGCAATGCTTTTCCAAATTTGCGCATGATTTCAATCTCTTATTTCCATGCTTCTTAGGGAACATATCGTACAGCAAAATGGAGAGGAATTAGAGTAGCTGTCAAAGTGCTTGGAGAAGAGCTCATTGAAGATGGAGATAAAGTGTGGGTTGGTGGTCTCAGTTACATATATTAATATACCTATTTATTTATCTTGCTAAGTCTTTTATTTGCGTGTTGTTCCTTATTTGATATTTGCAGAAGGGCATTCAGGGACGAACTTGAACTGCTTCAGCAGATACGCCATCCAAATGTTGTGCAGTTTTTGGGTGCTGTCACACAAAGCAGTCCAATGATGATTGTTACAGAATATTTGCCTAAGGTTTTTTGTAACTCATGCATATATATAAGATGCTCTACCTTCTGTTTTCAATCAGGGAAATTTACATACGTAGCACATTATTCTTATATATTTACATCTCACACCTAAACTTTGATGCCTACACATGTTGCACTCAAATCTTTAATATTACACCAAAAATAGCACTATTACCATTTTTTAAATGTGAAATACACCTTTTCATGCATAAGGTTAAAGCACCAAAGATATGTAAATATGAACGTTTAGGTGTGTAAATACATAAGAATTGCGTGCTAAGTATGTAAAGTTCCCAAATTCTATTAAATCATTTGGTGATGGACATAAGCTCATTTCTGATGTTCCATGTTATTTCAATATGTTGTTTTTAAAACTGAAATGGCATGTTATGTCTTTTAAAGTTTTTTTGTTCTGGTTAATTTAAGTAGTAGAACATCTAGATTTTGTTGATAACGAGTGGGATAGTGAAAGATGATTAACCTGTTGGATCTGCTAGAACCAGTCAATTTGAGGGCAGGATCAAAGAAAGCAGACAAAAAATGACTCTGGAAGTCAGGACAGGTTTCTTTTAGGATTTGGGTTTGGGCTTGGATGTCTGTGCATGTCTTGATCAACTCATGTAGGGTTGATTGTTGTTTGATATTCTGGTTTTATGATTTGGCTTTTTAATTCCTTGCTTTTTGGTTTTTAAATTGTCTTTCCTTGTCTTTAGGAGTTGCATACTTAAATTTTGAAAAGGCTGTTTTAGATTTTGAATTTTAATGATATATCATCTACTTGATTTTGGCAATTAGGTTGATTTTCTAATTATATTTTTGCATTATAAATAGAAATTGTCTTGTACGTAACCAAATTTCAATTAAGAAGGCTCTAGTTGATTAAATTCTATCCATGTAATTAGATTGATTACACACATTTTTGCAGCTGGTGCAAGAAAATTTCCAACAATTATGTAGGATGAAAGGAGAAGAATCTTCATTGTCTTGTCGTTCATTCCCTCACAAACTTCAACTTAGGCTCATAAAATATTTTGCCATACTCTTGGTTATTTAGGCAGAGGTAGGCCTAGGAAGACTTGGGCTTATTGTATAAAAAATTTGCTTAATTTATTAGAACTGAATTAAAATATGACACTAAATAGGATACAATAGAGAAAAATGATTCATGTAGCCGACCCCACATAGTGGGATTAAGGCTTTGTTGTTCTTGTTGTTGTACCCTTGTGTATTTGATCAATTGAGACTTAGATCACCTTACCGGTATAAGATCTCATATTCTGCTTATGGGAGGGGGAAATGGCAAAGACAAAAAAAAAAAAAACGACTTTGCCATCAATGTGGAAAAAAGCTTGATCACAAACCGGGCTAATTCAATCTCTAATCAAGCGGGAGCATTGACAATGCAAAAAGTACTTGAAGTCTTCAAACAAAATTGAAGGCCTTGGAAGGGATGTGATTCTTTGATTTTATATTCATGAAACTATGGTATGTGCACTTGCCAGTCTAGATGATAAATTTTAATTACAGCAAGGATATGGAAGATGTTGAAGTTCTCTTGAAACACTAATGGAGGAAATCTCGACCCTAATGAAGTTCATATCAAGGTTAACAACTTTTTTCAGGAACTGGTGTTGCTCTCGATTTCCTTGATTGATGAAACTAATTCCAAGTTGATGGCCCAGAAAAATAACCATCAAATAGGTAAGATAAAAGTCAACTATAAAGGAGGGAAACGCATTCTTTGACAACAAATAACAGAGGAACTTTTTGCGCACATTGCCAATTCTATAGTCATACTAACGTCAAGCGTTGGAAGCTCTACCCGGCAGTTAGGCCTAAAGACTGCCCAATAAATAGTCCAAATGAAAGGGTCGAGACAAGTTTGCTCCTTCAGCAGGCGAATAGTAATAAGACGAGGCCAAGGATGATCTTTTCAAGCTAAGTATTTTTGTCAGGGTAGTATTATTTTCTTTTTCTTTGATTTAGGAACTTAAAAGAATTTAATTTTAGAGGAATTGGTTGGCAGATCAAAGTTAAAGATCACACTCATCCAAATTCCTATTCCTTAATGTGGTTCAAGAAGGAAGCTAAGTTTAAGGCAGACTAGCAATGCAACTTTAACTTCATAATCACAGATTTTAGCATCAGTGAGGTCAACTGCAAGCATGCCTCTTGATGAGTGGCACATGATTTTTGGTAATCCAAAATCTGGGAGCATGATGTCATTTGCTGCTGATAATGACATCAAATTAGATTAGTAAAAGATAATATATCTTAACAATATTTTTAGAACAACTCATTTTTTTTGTTATAATCTTATCTCCTTTTATCAAGCAAAGAACACAATCATTGTATTAAATGATAAATGACATTTTAACTACTAGTAATTAACATGAAGCAAAAATGGAGGATGTCAATATGAATTAAGTTATTGTTTGGTTTCATGTATTTAGAACAATGGTTTTTTTGAAAATGTAGAATAAAATTAATGTAATTCTGATTACTCAGATTTGTTTGGTTAACAATAAAATAAATGTAAGAAAATATCTTATCTAAGCTACTATTTATATAAAAATAAAGCCTACCTTATAATAAAATGACAATAGGTTAATCATCCAGTATCCCTTGATTTACTAGCCATGCCCCTAACTTGAAAATAGGATAACCATGCCTTTTTTTACTGCATAAGCACTCCATTTTATTAAACTATAATTATAATACTTTGTTTTCTATCAAGTATTGGCATCCCTTGTCGCAGGAAGAACTTTTGGTTATAGAGATAATAACATGCATGGTACCCCAAACATTGTTATTTGCAGAATCTAGCACCCTGATGATATTTATGAACTACGGAATTGATGTATTTATGCGTGCCACAATTAAACCATTGAAAATTTGATGAAAACGGAAAGTATTGGTTGGGGTTTTATCATGAATTTTGATATTTGAGTGAGAATTTGAAAAACGGAAGAAAGAGGGTGCTAGATTTGTAAATAGCAGTGCTTCAGGTGCTATGTATGCAATTGTCCCTTGATTATACTCCTCATCTTATCTCATGTGTATTAACTTTTGGTGTAAAAACCAGAAATAATTTTATTCACCTTCTCATAAACATTACACTTCACAAAATATGTATAAAATAACTAACTAAAATAAAATAAGAATCTCTTTAAATAGGGAAACACATAAAATAGAAAATGCAAATAAAGGAAACACTATTACTGGAGTATATTTTGAGATAAGGAAATAAATTCCTTCTCTATGTATATTTCTTGCAAGGAAGGAATTCCACACTCCCTCTGAAGCTAGGTCATAGATGTTGTAATGACACCCAACTTGGTATTCAAATTAGTGAAGCTACCAGGTGGTTAGGGATTTTGTGAAGAAATCAACGACTTGAAGATGAGTTGTAATGTAGTCTAAGTGTATAATGTCACCATCGACCTTTTTAGAGATAAATTGTTGAGATTTGAAATAGATCAGCAAATTTTATTGATAGAAGAAGGGATAACCCAATTGCAATAGACACAAACAACAAATGAAAAAAATAAAACATGATAAAATGAATAGGAAATGAATAAAATAGAATAAAGCGAAAAAAGTAAATCCATAATGAGGGTATTTAAAGCTAATAGACAAGAAAGAATAAGTAATAATGGTTTCTCTCAAGTTGAAGCATAGATGTCAATCATGTTCAACATAGATTTGAAGTCATCGAACAAAGGTCGAGGAAGATTTTTGGTGAGGATATCCGCTAGTTGACCACTTGAGGGTACGAAAGACACAAATTTATCTGAACTCAACCTTTTTCTTAATGAAGTATCTGTCAATCTCCACATGTTTTGTACGATCATGCTAGAATGGATTGTGAGCAATGTTGATAGCAACTTATTATCACAGAATAGCTTTAGCGGGATGAAGATTGACATACGGAGTTCACGGAGCATGATGCGTAACCAGAGAGCTTCATAGATCCCATAGCCATGGACTGGAATTCAGCTTCAGCATTGCTTTGAGTAACCGCAGACACTTTTTTGTTTTTCCATGTGGCCAGATTTTCCCATACAAATGAGGAATACCCCGAGGTGGAATGTTGGTCATAAACTGACCCGACCCAATCAACATCTGTATAAACAACTATAGACTGAGATGTGCAATGAGACAAAAAAAAAACCGTGCCTGGAGTATCTTTTAGATAGTGAAGAATCTGGTGGATAACTTGGAGATGGTGCTCATAAGGGTCATGCATGAATTAACTCACTATACCAACAGTTTGAGATGGTGCTCATAAGGGTCATACATGAATTAACTCACTATACCAACAGTTTGACATATCTCAGGGTGAGTATGACGAGGTAAATGAGTTTCCCCACAAGGCGCTGATAGTGATTCGTGTTGACAGACACAACATTGTAAATGTCAGATGATTTTTCATTGGAATCCATAGGGACAACCATATGTTTGCACAGAAGAAAGTTATTCTATTTCAAGCGTTCAATCACATATTTATGTTGAGATAAAAAAGACCCGGAGAGATCCCAAATCTTTCATTGCAAAGGATTTAATAATGTTTTTCAAGGTTTTCGGTGCTGGGAGATCATTACCTGTAAGAACAATAACATCAACATAAACATTAAAATAGTTACGTTGCCATTGGAGGAATGTCGAAAGAAAAGAGTGTGATACGATTTAGCTTGAGTAAAACCATGCCCCACGACCACCTTTTTGAACTTGTCAAACCAAATCATGGGAGATTGCTTTAGTCCATAAAGAGAATTTGGTGGCCTGCACACTCACCCTTTGGAAGCAGTAGAGTCAACGCCAAGAGGAAGAGACATATACCTCTTCAGTAAGCGCTCTATTCAAGAACACATTATTGACATCTAGCCAGAATAAAGGGCTAGTCCAGATTCATTGCAAGGGATAACATGACCCAAATAGTGTTTAACTTAGCCCCTGGAGCAAAAGTCTCCTCATAGTAAACTTCATAGGTTTGTGAGTATC